CCCTGCCCAGCCACGGGCCAGCGCCTGGTGCAGCAGGCACAGCCCTCACCCACAACAAAGTGCTTACAAACTGCTAGAAAAAACAGGGAGCAGGGCAAGGAGAAGGGAGAAACACTCACCGTCTGCTGGAATGGTCCCTTCCTGGCAGATCCTGGGGCCACAAGGACCAAATTTGGGATCAAAAGGCCCCAGACTGTAGCTGGTTGCTGATGACATAAGGGTGGCTGAGCCCCTCATGTCCCTCCTCACCCCAAACTCTGGGGATGCTCCAAGCAAGTCCAGGGATTGTGGATGTGGAATGAAACACTCGTGGGGGGAAACTGGGGCTGTTTCAGCCCTCCCAGCAGACAAGCCCAGAGGATTTGGGGGACAGGGTGACCTGACTGAGGAGGAGCAGGAACCCACAGCAGGTGGGACAACAAGGCAGAGTGGGTTTGCTGGAGCCTCCAGGGTGCCATCATAGCCAGGCACTGCCATGGGCGAAGGAAGCACTGGCACAAAGCTGGGGCACAGGTGGGCACAGACAAGTGTGCCAGGATGTAGGAGCACAGAGCTGCTCGTGGTCCCCCTTGGCTCCTCGGCCCAGGGCAGCCCCCATGCAGCGTGTGGGGCGCCGGCAGCTGCCCGGGTGAAGCCCAGGTGTGGGGTGGAGGCTCAGCAAGCCTGGGCATGTGGCCTGGCATTGAACAGGGTGCTCCTCCTCCTCCTCTCTGCACGGAATGCTGCTGCCTGCTCTCAGCACAGACTCTCAGGACCAAGGGACAGAGGCCAACCCAGCTCCCATGCCCTGTCTCCTGCCCAGGGGTGTGGGTGATGAAGAAGAGGGAAATCCCAGCCAAGACATTGAGTTTATTTTTTCAAGATGATAAAAAAAAAAAAACCAAACAGACAAAACTTCCTGAAAACAGCTTCCTACCTTATAATTTCACAGAAATTAGCTTGGAAACATCATCTGCCCGTACCTGCTCCGGGCTCTGCCCTGTCCCTCCCCCAGCCCAGCCTCCCCAAGCACAGGCAGAGCCAGCCCAGGGGCTCTGCCCCCACCCACAGCATGTCCCCGAGCACAGAGCAGAGCCAGAGCCCCCTCCCCTCCACGGGGGCTCTGCAGGTCCTGGGAGGGGAGCAGGAAGGTTTGAGCAGCCCCAGTGGGCTCATATCCCCTGCTCACACCTGTGGATACTGGTAGCCCCCCCAAAGCTCAGCCCATCAGCCTGACATGGGGACAAAGTGCTGAGTATTTGGGGGGGGCAACACAGGAAAGGGGCTTCAAAGTGTACTCCAGGGTGGATGCTGCGTGCCACTATTCCACCTTTAGTATGCCCAGCCCAGCATAGCCCCCTGGGACTTGGCCCAGCCCCTCAGGACCTGCCATCCTGGCACTAAGGAGTTAATAAATTCATTGCTGACTAAGAAATTAGACCCTTAAGAACGAAACCAACACCCACCTTGGCCCTCCCCTCTCCCCCTCCCCAGGATAACCACGGTGGGTGTCAGGTCCCCCCATGCCAGCAGCTGTGGACAGGTGAGTGCCAGGGAATGGTGGCTTCAGGCCAGGCTCAGGCACTACTCCTTGGAGGCTTCTTGCTGCGAGCGTTCCACATGCCGCGCTTCGAGTGGTAGTAGTGGTAAAAGTTCCTGAGGCGCAAGCGCTCCACCTCCAGCCCGCTCTGGAGCACCCTGAGGATGGATGGATAAGGGACAGGGCTCAGGGAGTGGAGAGGTGGGCTTGGGGCACAGACAGAGGGACAGGACTCAGAACATGGAGGGACAGGGGCTCAGGGCATGGACAGTCAAGGGACAGGGCTCAGGGCACGGACAAATGGACACAGACCTCCAAAAGAGAGGTTTGCCCATTTTCCACTCAGCCTCCAGCCAGCTTTCCCAAGGGACGTGCCCAAATCCATGTGGTCAGCCCTGTCCTGGAGGTTTAGGGGCTGCAGGACCCCCAGGCTCACCTGTCCAGGAGCTCCCAGTCCTCCCCACCCCAGCGGTCCCGGAACTCCTCCGTGTTCATCCCTCCCACGCGGTCGAAGTCTGACTTGTAGATGCCGAAGAGGCCGAAGCCATTCACCTCCCAGTAGCCTGCAGGGGGGCAACAATAAGGTGAGAGGTATGGGGGACCCCCAAGTCCCAGGACATCCCCTCTGAGCTATCCCACTACATGGAAGCCATGGGGATGCGCCATCCCAGCCCCTCTTCCCACCACAGGTCAGTCCCCATCACTGCCACCTCCCATGGGGTTGCACCAGGTTACAGCCCAGTTTGGGGGGCAGAGAATGTTTCCCAGGTGGAAAGGGGACCCTAGGGGGGTCCTCACTCACCATTGGGCTCCCGGGGTGAGCTGCCGCAGCTGAGCCGCATGACGATGGGCGCATAGGCCAGTTTGCCCTCCACGCAGTGCTTCCGGATGCTGTCCAGGATGTCGGGAGGGAAATGGATGTGCAGGTCGCAGAGGAACACAATGCTGTGCTCGTCCTAGAGGAGGGACAGACACAGGTTGGGGGATCAGGGCAGAACGGAGTCAGGAGAGAAGCCACAACCAGAGCTGGTCACTGTCCTCTCACCTCCACGACGTCCACGCCGGCCTGCAGCCCGGCCGAGCGCTCGAAGTTCCCTGTGCGCCGCAGGTACTGGTATCTGGGGAGAGAGGATAGGGCAGGTAGCACTAGGGACAGGCAGGGACACAGGACCCCCCAAGGCTGCAGGCTGGGCCACATGCAAGGGGTTACCGGGGCAGCCGTGCATCCTGCAGGGCTTTCTCCACATCCATGTCCTCACTGTCAAAGTCCACCAGGATGACATTGAAGTTGGCATCCTTTGTAGCCCCGTAGAGGTCGGCCATGTCCGAGATGAACTGCTGCACCCAGCGAGCTTGGTTCTTCACTGCCAGAGACACAGCCCTCAGGCTCACATGGAGTCCCAGAGCACCCCCTGCCCCAGCCAAACCAACACCTCTCCTGAAGACAGTGACAGCCTCATCCCCCCTGGGCCAGCCCAAGACCCCAGAGAGCCACATCCTGCTGTTACCTACCTGGCACCACAAAGTGCACCATGACGTCCTGTCTCCAGCTGAGCCGCAGAGGCCGGCACAGGATGGGTTTTCCATAGAGGATGCTCCAGGCACTGGGTTGGGGCTCAGTTGCCCCCAGGGCCAGCCCCTCAGGGTTGGCCTCAGCACTGTCATCCTGCTTGCCCTGGTGCAGGAGGACATAGACATACTCAGAGAGACGCACCGTGCGCTGGCCACGCTCTGCCAGCTCCAACTCCAGCAGGTACCGGTTCCCTCGTGCTGTGTCCCGGCGCTTCTCCACATTGATGATCCTCAGGAGGGTGTAGATGCTATGGGGAAAGAAGCAGCCTTGAAATCACCATCATTGTGAGCTCTGCTACCTGTGATCCAGGACTCACCATGCACCTCAGCAGAGCCTGGCAGGGTGCAGGCTCATCCCCTTACCCCCCACCCCACTCTCTCCCTACCCTCCATTCTTCTCGTTCAGCCTCTCCATGTACTGTGCCACCACGTCCACCACCTCGCTCTCACTCAGCTGCAGGTTGCCTGACACATTGCAGCGCAGGTCGTTCCAGTCAGAGCGCAGCAGCTCGAAGTCCACCGAGCTGACGCTGAACGTCCGCTGCCAGTTGATGGAGTCCTCCAGCCAGCCCTGCTGCAGCTCCCCTGCTTCGTAGGAGTAATCTGACACCTCCTCTTCCTCCTCCTCCTCCTCCTCCTGGCCCTTGCCCTCCTCCTGCTGTGATGCTGTAGTTTCTGACATCTTCAGAAAGGATGTCACCCGTGTCCCCTCCGAGTGGGTGGCCTCGGAGGAGTTGTAATCAGTGGTAGCTGCTGTCCTGCCTGGGGCAGTGGTTGTGTCCTCATGGGTCTCTTGGCTGAAGAGCCCCTCAGTCCCCAGAGCAAGCAGGCTGGGCAGTGTCTGCTGCTTAGGTGGCCGAGCCCACCTCCTGCCACCCTTCCGCCTGGTAGGGTCCCTCTCCTTGGAGATGCTGTGCAGGAGCCAGGGGCTCCGGTGGCCAGGGACAGCTCGGAGCTTGCTGGGGGAAATTGGATGCTTCTGAGGGGCCCTGGAGTGGAGGTGGACTCTCTTCAGAGGCTTTGGGTACAGGAAGATGCCAGGAAAGGCTGGCTCCTGGGCTGGGGCCCTGCGCTTCCCAGGCTGCAGCCGGGTCACGTACACCTTCTCCTGGGTTTTCCGGGGCTTCTTGTCCTCACTGGGGTCTGTTGGCTTACTGGGACTTGGTGTTTTGGCTTGGCCACCGAAAATAGGCACAGAGAGGTGGGGCTGCCCCGGGCCCGTGCTTGGGGGATGCCAGCAGCCCCAATTCATCCTCCTCAGCCTCGCCAGGCTCCTGCGGCAGCCAGCGGAGTGCCCGGCCTGGGCCCTGCTCCGGCACAGGGTCCTCCTGGCCGTGGGGATCCCGGAGGGCAGCTGC